CTGGTGTCCAGTATCTCTGATAACTTCTCAGTATCTACAGAAGCAACAGAGCTGGAAGAAGGCTCATGTTGGGTGCTTGAGGAGCCTGTGCTGCTGCCGTCTATGGCTAGATCCAGGTCTGGAGGAGGAATACAGCCATCGAGGAAAGCCAACAGAGGGCAGGTGGTGTACTGGATCAGCTGCTTATCTTGTGGGGGGAGCAACAAAAAACAAACTTTAAATATATCTGGTTCAATGAAGAAAAACACGTGAAACATCCTTTACTTTTCCTAACTTTATTAACAACATAACATTAATGATCATCTGCTCACGTCATAAAGAAAAGAGCTTCAAACAATCAACACTAACTAAACTTGTGAAATATTTGAATGTCTGCTCTCTGACGCCGATTTGGAGACACAATGTTGCAGGTAGAGAGAGTTGTTAATTAATTGTAATTTTAGATATTACTCCATAACTTTATCAGCTGCTTATTAAATAAAACCAGCAAGTTCACACTACAGTGTGGGAAATAAAAGCTTAAATGGCATTATATGAAGTATCATTAACCCTAATAAAGTGTAATGTTTCAGTAGTATCATACCAAATTAAATACTAATCTTAGGAAGATTGTTTTGCTTGTAACTGCTTATAACAGTCTGTATCACAGATTTACAGCACAAAACAGTGACAACTTTATAGCATTAATAATCAGTAATTGCCTACAGGATACTGAAAGTACATAGTTACTGTACATCTGTTGTTGCATTGTAATTTAGAAAATAATGACATCCATATGCATCTAACTCATTTCAGCAGTACCTTTTGGATTTGCAATATATCCAATGGCTAATTTAAAACTATCTTTGGTTAATTGTGTAGTTTATCCTTACCTGTGTTATCTTCCTCACTCCTCCCTTTGCTCACCTCTGCTGTGCTCCCTTTGGAGGGCACATTCTCCTGAAGGGTGACATCACAAGACAGAAGCTTTAAAACAGCCAAAAACTAACAGCATAGATGTAAATTAGAAGTTAGAGAACAGATTTACATGTTCAAGAACAAATATTCCTACAGACAGGGAATGAGCTGCTGCCATATGTTGAACACTTGCAAGTGTCTCTGAGAAGAAAACTGGCACGTGCAGACTGGTGCAGCTGCAGTCTCTTCTTGCTGAGTGTGCAATCGACGCTATTAGTTTACCAGTCAATCTATGTTACCACTCTCATCTATGACCATGGCCTTTAGGTAGTGACTAAAAGAATGAGATTGTTGATACAAGCAGAGAAAAAGAAGCTTGCTCTGTAGAGTATCTAGGCCAGAACGTGAAGAGGTTAGCAGCTTGGTCATTCAGGAAGGACTTAAAACAAAAGTCCTCCCTCAAATCGAAAGCTCTGACATGTCAGAGTCAGACACTCGAATAGAACCATCTCTTAGGTGAGGTGATTTAGGCATGTCGAAACTAAGAGGAGACACACTGGCAAGACTATGTCGCAGCCAACTTGGGAACGCCTCAGCGCCCCCTCCCCCAGAAGAGCTTGGAGGAGGTTGCTGGGGGGAGGTAGGTTTGGCTTTCCTGCAACCCAGAGACAGACAGGCAGCAGAAAATGAATGGATGGCTCCTTCCATATTTTTACCTAAAAAATACTCCCATTACATTCCCTTTATGGCAGTGGAAGTACCAATGGTCAGCTTATCCAATTTTGGATAGTCAAACTGATCAGATGTGTTAAGGCTAGAAACCACCAATGACCTAAGTGGGTGTTTATGATGTGTGTGTATAATGCTATGTTACCTCTTGAGTATCAAAATCAATGCCACACTGTTTTCCATAAAGCATGGCCTGAAAGTCCTCTAGACTGCAGTCAATACTATCCAGATAGTCCATGAGTTCCACCCTAACAAAAAAGACAAATTCACACACATGTTAAATAAAAAATTAAAAAATTAAAATGAAATGGAACACCATATTCACATGATCACATGACCAACATGGAGTTGTAGAGTTAAAATGTGACAACACTAGACACTTCAATGTAGTACATGCCTGTTCAGCTGTCTAGAATTTGGGGAATTTGTGGTTCGCATACTGCACACAGCAAAGTATTTAAAACACTAAAAACAGCAAAGCACATGGGATGGTTTTACAATGTTACATATGCATCTTGTTCATAATTAGCCCCCTTACAATGTTGCTTCCATGACTCTGTACAGACAGCATAAACACAGCAACATATACTGTCAGTATGGATGGGTCAACCCAGCTAGGAAGGTCAGAGCAAGGGCATGTGCTAATTAGCTAAGATAAGGTTCAGTGTAATCAGTGTTCTTGGGAAACTGTGCCTGACCAGTCTAACACATGACATTAACCATAACTGATTTCCAGTGAAAGTTTATATGGCTTGCCAAAAACAATCTGTGATTTGTGCTGCCTTGCAGACAGTGGTACTGTTGTAGTGAAAGGGTTTGGAGAACTATGCGGCTATTCCAAGGACAGGCTGGCTATGCAAGACACATCTCCTGGATGCACTGGTACGCATCTTCTGTGATGTATCCTGGGGTCATCAGGTGTTTCAGGTCTCGCAACATCATACACCCTCGCCCAGGCGACCCAGCCGGGGGTGATCAGGCCCCAACTTGGTACCAGTAGCTGCCCATGGATCAGCCCTCTTAATCCACAGCCACCTTGTGGCTTTCTCTGCCGCTTTGCTCACAGCCTGGATAGCCCTCTTCTTGGCTGCCCCAGCCGCTCCCAGTCGGCCCAGGACTTTGCAGAGTGATTGTCCTGCAAAGCCCCAACAACCCACTTCTATGGGCTCATAGAAAGTCTTCCAGCCCCTTCCCCTGCATTCCTGCACTAGTTCCTGGTACTTTGCGCATTTTCTCTCATTGGCCTCCTGGATCCGCTCTTACCAGGGCACTCTGAGTTCCAGCATGATCAGATGTTTTGAGGCATCACAAATAATGATCATGCCTGGCCAGAGAGATGTTTTTACAATGTGCTGTGGGAACTTTAGCTGTTTACCCAGGTCAATGGGTAAACAGCTAAAGAAACCCAGTATAAATAACTAGCAGGCAGAAAAGGAAAGACATTTTTGGGCCTCCACATGGACATTTCTATAACGCCTTGTTAAAGCTAAGACATTACATGTTACAAACATGGGAAGTGTGCATTTGATACTGCACATGTAATCCAATGATAGCTTTTAAATTGAACTTCTCGTGTAGTTCTCACTTGATATTAGGCTACTCGATATTTGGCTAGCAGAATTGGTAGAGTTCATTAAAATTATTTGATTACCTGGGGCAGACCTAGATTTTAACATTAAGTTTACATATTTCAGAAACATAGCGATCACTGTCCCGTGGAAACATCCAATTGTGTGTCAACTATTTAGCTGTTGATATTGTAAAATTGAAGAATCTGGGGGCAGCTTACTGAATTAACTTTTTGCAATGTACTAGGACCTGTGGTATTAAAACAGTCCCACGGCTGTAACCACATCCTTGACTTGACACAGTGCTCTTAGGTTTGAAAACCCTCACCCAATTTTTGTCTGGTCTGGCAGTAAAACCTTTGAACAGCAGGCGCACACCAAAACTGTTTGTGCACTTGGCAGATGAGGGTCAGTAGTGTAACGTATGAGCTGATCAGGACAGAGATCTTGGAGGCTGTTGCCGGGATTGGCTGGAGCCATTCTGGAGGTCACTGCCCCAAGTGCTCCAATTACCACGGGGACTTCTTTGGCTCCTCTCTCAGGCCTTGATACTTCTCGTGTTCCTTCTTCTTTCATGTTACAATCACTCGGTATAGCTACATCCATCACTAC